AAGTGTTTCAACTTGAATGTCTTCATGTATGTACTTAAAAGTAGATTCTAAATGCAAATTTTCTCTTTGTTGTTTCATGTTTATCTATCTCTCTTGTTCTCAACATTTGGACAGTTTTCCTCTGCCTCGTTGTCTTCTTATAGGGACCTCCTATGTATATATATCTTTTTAGACCTACCCAGGGTTTCTTTTTTTCCCCTTTCTTTGTTGTCTGGTACTTTTGGTACTCATAACAGAGTGTAAAATGCCTCTTTCACCTTTTGATTTTTCTACTCTATCTTCCTTGTACTAAGCCTGCAATGTCTGAAACATGGCCATTACCCAGAATGCCAAATGTAGTCAAGCGAAAAGCACTATGAAAAAGGGAAGTATACAGATTCTTCATGCTTATTAAAAAGAAAATATACAATATATGATGCTGTTTTGAGAAAAAAGATGATGGTATGCTCTAGCTCTTACTCTGTAGTATCACTGTAAAAAAGTATTGGGTAAGAAAATAAAAGTTTAATAAACTACACATAATGTATCTAACATATTTACAAAATACTTAAAAATAATCCTTTCTTTTTTTCTACTGACTTGTGATACCAACTTCTTCGTACACACAATTCTTATATTAGGTCATTAAATGTGAAATGTCTGATTTCAAATTATAAGTTTAGTTTATTATATCTCAAACAAGAAGCAGGACAGTTTATCAAAGTATGCACCTAAGCTGTTGACACAGTTTTGCCATCTTAACTGTAGCTTGCTTATGCCAGCAGTGAAGAAGCCTGGAGAGTGAGTGAAAATGAAAGCATGAAAGGTGTTTTCCGCAGCTTGTTGAGAATTGAATATTTTTTTTCTTGAAAGAAGTGGTCCAGAACTTGGAAGAAGTGGTGGTCAGTTGGTGCAAGGTCTGGTGAATATGGTGGATGACAAAGAGTTTCCACGTCCAGCCTTTGTAGTTTCAGTAGCATTGTTTGTGCGACATGTGGCCCAGCGTTGTCTTGCAAGAGGATTGGCCTGTCTCTAGTGATCAATCTTGGCTGCTTAATCACAAGCATCTTCATTGTTTCATCCAATTGGTTGCAGTAGACAACCTCTGTAACCTATTGACCAGGATTCATGAAGCTGTAGTAGATAATACCAATGCTAGAACACCAGACACCGTAAGCTTTTTTGGAAGAATATTCTGTTTGGGACTGGGTTTTGGCACTTCTTCTTTATCCAACCATTCTGCTGAATGCTTGCAATAGTCAAAAACAAATCCAGGCTGGGCGAGGTGGCTCACGCCTGTAATCCTAGCACTCTGGGAGGCTGAGGCGGGTGGATTGCTTGAGGTCAGGAGTTCGAAACAAGCCTGAGCAAGAGTGAGACCCCGTCTCTACTATAAATAGAAAGAAATTAATTGGCCAACTAATATATATGTATATATGTGTGTGTGTGTGTGTGTGTATATATATATATATATATATATATATAAATTAGCCGTGCATGGTGGCTCATGCCTGTAGTCCCAGCTACTTGGGAGGCTGAGGCAGCAGGATTGCTTGAGCCCAGGAGTTTGAGGTTGCTGTGAGCTAGGCTGATGCCATGGCACTCACTCTAGCCTGGGCAATAAATCGAGACTCTGTCAAAAAAAAAAATCCATTTTTCATATGTAGCAATACAGTATAGAAGCTGTTTGCCTTTATGTCATGACAGTAAAGAAAGACAAGCTTCAAGACAATTTGTCTTCTGACATTCATTTAATTTACACAGAACCCATCTATCCAGCTTCTTTACTTTGCTGATTTGTTTCAAATGGTTCAATATTGTTGGAATAGTAGTGTCAAACCTTTCTGCTAATTCACGTGTAGGTTGAGATGGATTCGCTTCCACTACAGCTTTCAGGTCATCATTGTCCACCTTGGTCTCAGGTCTCCCACGTGGCTCATTTTCAAGATTGAAATCACCAATGGAATGGAATTCCTCAATCCATTGACATAATATGCATTCATTAGCCACATCCTTCCCAAACACTTCACTGATATTTTGACCTGTCTGTGCTGCATTAGTTCCATGACCAAACTCATTAAAAAATAACACAAATTTTTGACTTATCCATGTTTTCACAAAAATTGCTCCAAAAAATTTTGAAAGGTAATCACAAACCAAAACTTGTGTACTTGAAAAAACAAGGATGTACCTTTACAGTAAAAATAAAACAAGAAGTATCAAAGTGAAAATGTCAGAGATATGAACTGTCAAACTTAGTACTTAAGGAAATTGGACATCTCATACTTAAGGACCTATAGTTCTACCATATGTTTCTGTATTCTGTTTTATAATTCTATCTTTGATGAAATCCTAGACCATGTGTAGAGAGCACAGAATTAGGAATTACTTAAGGGAGGACAGGAAAATTATTGATTCTTTGTAGGCTTGGTGGTTTAAAAATATATCCATAAAATTTTTCATTATTCTTAAAATTTAATGTGAAGCCTGATTCTTTTCTTCTTGAGTAGGGGCTAGATTTAGTGACTTGCTTCTAATAGATAGAACATAGCAGAAGTAATGGTTTATGACTTCTAAAAGTAGGTCATAAAAGTCATTGCATCCTGTACCTTGCTCTGTCTCTGTTTATCACTCTCTCTAGGGAAATCGAGCTGCCACCTTGTGAGTATACCCATGAAGCTCTAAAGAGAGGCGAGGAGCTAGCAATAGCCAGATAGGAACTTAGTCCTCCTGCTAACAGCTGTGTGAGTGATCATCTTGGAAGCAGATTCTCCAGTCCCAATTAAGCCTTCAGATGACTAGAGCCTCAGCTGATCTTGATTGCAACCTTAAGAAGGTCTGTGAGCCAGAAATGCCCAGCTAAGCCTCCCTGAATTTCTGATCCACAGAAACTGTGACATAATAAATACTTGTTGATTTAAATGCTAAGTTTTGGGGTAATTCACAATAATGAACTAAATAGAAACAGATGGTTGCAGCCATGGTAGATTATACCTCCAAAAGATTTGTCAGTGGTAACAGCTGTAGTCCCAGTGGGCAGGCCTCTGGCATGAGGTCAGCGATAGCCTACCATGGTGACACTAGTCTATCCATCCTATTTCCAACATCTCTATTTCCTCTTATCACTTGGTGTGGGAGTAGCAGATGGAATAGGAAAGATTATCTGTTGTATTCCAAAAAATCACACTGCAAGCACCATAAAATAATGTATGGTTCTGGCCAGTGATTATCCATATTGAAAGATAAAGAAGGAAGCTTAGACTTATGCTGCTACACAGCACTGTCAGAACTATAATTTGATTTTTGAAATTTATAATTTAAATTGTATGTACTTTGGGCTAGGAATCAATTAATGCATACACATCATCAGTGGTAATTAATTCCTTAAGTATAGAAATAAATGCAGAAACTGAGAAGGAGGAAGAAAAATGAGCTTACAGTTATTAAGGAACCACTATATTTTAGATATTAGGTAGGCAAAATTAACATACCAAAAAGAAAGATTGAGATAGTTACTGGAATTGCTGTACATCGTTTGCTCCTGACTTTGATATTGGTGGTGCTTATGCCCTTAATTTGCCCCTCTCATCGTCCACACAACCAAATTTCTCTTGCTCATAGACCTTGCCTACTTTTTGCCTATACTTTTCTTTTCTTCTCTTGGGTTTGCTGATTAAACAATGATTAGATAAATTGCAATAAGGAAGAAACAGATCACAGGTAGAAATGCAAAATAAATGATCCCTGTTAAAGCTCATTAATTCTCAAATATTCTTACCACACTTTTGCACATGATCTATCTGATTTAGGATTACCACTTTTCATCACTCAAGTGACTATAATTTCCTTCTTTACCTGCACTTAAAATGTGCTGCCAGTAGTTGGACCCAATTAGGAGTCTGTGGTCCAAACAAGATGTTAGGTACATAAAACACTGAGATAAAAGAGTAATTTTGCCCACTTGATAATTGTTAAGTCAAATAAAAATATTTTTTTATAAAAGGTAAAATTGTCAATGTAAAAAAAGGTCACTGAAAAAAATATAAACACCCAGATCTGCTTTAAGTTGCTGTGAAGTTTAACCCTGGTTAATCCCTGAACTTGATTTTACTGTTGTTTTTCAACTTGAATTTGTAAAGTTGGATTCAAAGTCTCCTTGGCGTAAACACATGGTAAAGAACTTTGGCCTTTCTTGTCTTTCAAATGAAAGCTTTGCTTGTATTCTGTAAATCAAAGACAAAGTCTTCATTTCTCTTTTCAAGCTTACTACTTAAACTGTTGCATTAAAATGAAAGACCATGTATGCTATTGTTGAGACAGGATAGAAGAAATGTTACAAGTGTTATCGACCTCTCCCCACTTGTCTTGGAAAACAGAGAGAGGAATTTCTTTGCTTGTTGTTTGAGTTCCTAAGCATTCTTTTGTTGCACAAAATCTTGGTAAAGGAGGAACAGAGAATTTGAAAGAAATCAGAGATTAAAATGAGCCACATATTGAAGAAGCTACAACAGAGACAGATGAGACTGGGGGAGTATTTGGAGGGAACTTGAACTATGAGGAGATGCAGGGACTTTGGGGCAGCTGCCACATGTGGAAGGAGTCGACAAGATTGGAAAGATAATATTTCCAAAGATTTTTCCTCCTTTGGTGTTTTTATTTAAGGTTTTAGTAAGAAATTTACACTGTTTTTGAATTATTTTGGATGCTGGACTGATGCTTCTTAAACATGACATTATGCCCACAAGGACCCATGAAATGCCTGGGCTTTATATGGATAATATATTTTTAAACCTTTTTTATTTTATTTTTTTTTTGTGTGTGTGTGTGAGGAAAAGGTGGAATTGATGCCAAATAGCTTCTCATCTTTAAATATCTTAGACTTATTTATGATGTTCCATTTAGCAACGAGCTATATATATATAACATGCAGTAAGCTCTTCAAATTCGTTTTGTGAGACTGAAACTCACAAAGTAACCAGTGAAACACAATAAGCAGATGTAAGGAGGGGGGCAAAGCTCACCTTTCCAGGGTGGCTCCATCTGACTTTTCCATTGTGCTGTGTTCTGTGCACTCCACTCCATCCTCAGCTGTCTCCAGTGGTCTGGCCCACGGCTTTAGTGACCAGACACTGCTACTCTGTTTCGCTCCATTTGTGACGTTTCTGGTTACCTCTTCACTCTGCTAGACTGTAACTTTGGAGATTGCTACCGAATTCCAGCTCCCTCATAGCTGATCACTTCCAGCTGAATTTACAGCCAGTTTCTCTGTATTATAGTTTGGCTGTATTATTAGGTGGTAGGCCTCATAGGCTTCCTTGGAATACAACTACTTTCTGTTTCTAAGCAGCCTTTTGAAAGTGCTTGTGGTAAAAAGCAACAAAGACAGTACTTATTTTTTACAGAAAAGGCAATGCAGTAAGCTCTGTTCTCTCTTAGAACATTTTATCTGGAAACAACAAATAAACAGAACTTTATAAGGCTTAAAAATAGAGATGCACAGTATTGTCGATCATTTATTTTTAAAGATAAACTATCAATGAACAAATAATTTGATATATATTTGTATTTTAAGTTAAGAGCTAATATTTATATTACTTCTCAGAAGGCTCAGTTAACCATTGGCCTAGGACCAAAGCTCCCATTGCAATCACATAAACTTGGCAGCTGCACAATGACTATGGCCAAGTGGATTAGGTTATGATGAAAGGAATGAGGAAAGTGTTTTAGTTTGTTAACATAAGGTATCTACTGAGCTAAAATAAATACTAACTTCTTAGTAAAAAGTGGTACTTGATGATTAGAATTTAATTGTGAAAGCTGAGTCTCTCATTAATAGGCAAATGAAATCATGTTTAAAGTTTTCTCAAGAACGTTTTCAACAAAAATTGAGGAGGAACATATGCATGTACATTTCATAATTGTTTTTATTGAGTTTCAAAGTTTGTGAGAAACATATCATAATGTATGGTTAAGTGTGTCATGGAAATAGTGCCAGTTACATATCTGAGAAACCTTCACCAGGACTTTTTGTGAGTGGAGTTGGGACGGGGGTGAGGGCTGATGATATGATATATTCCTCATGTCTCAAGTGTATACAGGAGAGATGATTGGTAAACTTAGCCTCTAACATCTTCATTGTGAATAAAACTATTTGGTTTCTAAAGACTGTAAGTTGTAGCAATTAAAAAATAACAAATGAGCCCCTGACGAACATAAACATATGCATGCATATAATTTAATTCATCGAGACCCGCAAAAATTCCAGGTGAAAAAAAATGTCATTGAACTTGACCACCTTTCTCTGCATCCCTAACTCAAGTATAATAGTTGTCTAGTGGTTCCTCACTAACAGGGATGTTTAGATTATTTTATACTTTTAGATGAAATATGGGCAGACTGTGGGAGAGTAAAAAGATTGTGTGTGCGCGCGTGCGTGTGCGTGCGTGTGTGTGTGTGTGTGTGTGTGTGTGTGTGTTAGAGAAAAAGCGAGAGAGGATGAAAAGCATCAGAACATCGGTAGGAGAGGGAAACAGAGTCAACTCTCAATTAACTGTCAATTACCTCTCTGTATCTAATTGGAGTATAGATTATAAAAATGGCATATGATCAGCCAGTCAACCCGAGGGGTTTTCTCACCACAACAAACACTTCTTACTCTCACAGATAGGAAACTCATCAGGAGAGAGGTAGGACTAGGAGGCCATCTGGAGAAAGATTTCTAGGATAGTGATCGGGAATCAGATTTTTTTATTGGACCCCTTTAAAGATCGCTCGATGAATTTCTTCCTTTAGCAGAAAAGGAAATGCAATTGTTTCCTTTAATCTTATTCCCATAACACATTTACATGACTGTTCCATCCCTATCAAGTATGACAGAAAGGAAGGAATGGGGCTAGCTGACATGCTGGCTCTATCTCCCTCAATAACAACATAATTGCCATGATTGTCAGTTCCCTTCAGTAAGACATTTGGAGGAATATAGGGGAAACACATAAAATTGACTTCAGAAGCTAAGCCTAAAAATGTAATCCTAATCATATAATTCTAAATAGGCCAACGAGAAAGGGAAGGGGGAAGCAATTATAAAAATCAATATGATGGCACAGGAATTCTCTGGGAGATTCAGCTTTGAAACCAACTATAGACAAGAGAGGATGGCCAGATAACCAACAGAGGATTACAAGAGGGCAGCATGAACCTATAGAAAAACTGTCATTGAAGTAAAAGACAGTCAAGAATTGCTTTATTTTATTTGGAGGAAAAAAAAATGAACTCATATAGTGAACATTTATTTGTTGTCTGTCTAGCTCTCCTGCCAATAGTATCCCAGTTTTCCTTTGTTGAATTCACTCTCACATATGAGGTTCATGTGGAAATGATCCCATTTTTAGCTCCTGAGGTGGGCCCTGAATCACTTAATCCAATCAACTTATCCTTCTAACCACCATATTTACTTCAGGGATGGATATCTGACCCAGGTGGGCCAATGAGAAAGTGTGAGTCCCAGTACCTGTGTGGGAGCTCTCAGACACTCCTCCTCTTACCTGAGTTGGTGTGAAGACAATGTGACATCTTGAACTGTTCTAACCATTTTTTGATACCACAGTGGGGAAAGCCTTGAAATTGAATGGAAGACCCTAAAAGACAGAGGAGAAGGAGAAGAGAGAAAATGTGTCCAGTGAGTTATTAGGTTATTCCTCTCAGGAAGCCAGAACCGCCCCTGGAATTTTAAGTTGTATGAAATATTAATGATAAATATTCTTCATTATTAAAGATTGAATTGAGTTGAATCTTATAGTTACTTGCAACCAAAATATACCAAATTAACAAGAAAATAGGGAAGATTATATAAAATTATCTGGGAACTGAGTTTTTTGAGTAAATTTTATTTTTTGAGTACTTTCACATTTTAATCCTTACAGTATTTCCAAGAGTAGAAACGATAGAAGTACATTTCAGCAGAGCAAAAGCCTTAACCTGAGAGGGTATATCCAATTGGGAAATTGACCCCGAAAGGCAGAACTTCCATCAACTCACTCTTTCAGGAATCTGTTTGAGTGTCACCAATTACTAGCACCTAATGAATAAGAAGGATTAGAGAAGCCATAAGAATCAAAAGAAAAGAAAAACTGAGTGATAATGGCAAAGGAAGCTGCTTTAAGAACTTGAAAGTATCTTCTCAGTGATCAGGAGATATCTTGGTGGTAGAATGTCTTTCCCTAGTTTTGAAGATCAGGGGAGCTGATCCCTGATCTTGAAGAAAGGGGATCAATCCCCTTTGCCTCTCTAAAGGGGATTGATGCTGTTTCTTCTGATGTGAGAAGATATTTAGGAGCAGTTGTATTTATTCTTTAGCAACGCTAAAGGAAATTTTATTTGTTGTCTGTTGGTATCTTTTTGTTAATCACCATTGTTCTGATTAAACGTTGCACTGTTCAGTATTATTAAATTCCACTTTATGGTGGGGAACCTACAGATCAAAGGGGATGAGCAACTTGCCAAAGATCATACAATGAGTTAATGGAAGTTCCAGGGCTTGAAATTTTAACTCCGTATCTTCAAAGTCCATGTGTTTTCCAGAACATAATTTTGCTTCTGTCTTCTCCTGAGGGAGAACAATTTTCAAACTGGGGAGGATAGATAAAGCATTTCTAAGAGGAAATTAACATACTCCATAGAAGAGTAGACCAAGGAAGCACCTGGATATGCTAATTGAGTTTCAGACTTCCAGGCCCAGTTGAATTGTATATTATGAGGCAGACAAACTTATAGATGACTTAAACATTTGCAAACTTACAGAATAGAGATGATAAATATTGTCCTCCAAAGGGGGAAAAGGTGAATTCTGGAACTACTGATGATTTATAATCTCTGGCCCAGACTGCTTCTCTACATTTAAGAGCTATATATCTTACATCCGTGACATTGTAATTAAGGCTCATTTGGAGGTGGTTAAGCAAATATTTTCTAAAAGAGTTAAATTTTGAGTGGCTAGTATCTGTGCCATGCCACACTTTTTTTAAAAAATAAATTGTAGATGTCAGCAAGGCAACCAATTAGAGGTGCCTAGTGCTCATCTCCCCCACAAAAAAATATCAAAACAACTAAACAACTAAAATTTGACTGGAGTGTCTGAAGGAAGGCATTGGAGTACAACAAAGGGCTGTCAAGATCCCTTTTCGGTACAGAAGCCAAGAATGGCAGCACAGAGGGGGGCCTGAGGCTCCCTGCCTCTGCCACTCTGTCTTCCCTACTGAGATCATCTCTGAGCCAGGAAGGAGTTCCCTTTGCAGGGAAAAGGTAAACAGAAGGCACCTGTGGGTTCCCATTCCCACTGCAGACACCTGTAGTCCTTACTACAGGAAAATTCCATGGTCCTCACAAGCTCTGAGTTCAGTTTGGGGAACTGTCTGGAATCCACACAGCTGTGTTATTACATAGTAGGAGCACATGTTGTGCATTCACCACCCCACCCCATGTCCTAAGCTGGTGCAGCAGAACACCATCTTGAAAGCAGAGCCACTGCTGGAGTGCTTCCTGTTCTGGGGGCAAGTAGCCACTGCACCTCTCCAACCTTGAGGCTCCTCCAACATTCCAGCAGGGTTACATGGGTAACTGTCATGTCATGCCCCCAGCTGCTCAGACCCTGAGTCCAGGCATGATTGTGACTTTGATATAACAGGGAAGTCAACTACAGGCCAGCTGAGCTGCCACATGCTCATGCCCCTCTCTGGAGAATCAGCACAGTGGATCTATCTCTGGTGAGCTAGTCAGGTGCTCCTAGCCATAGAAACAACTCGGTGACCTTGCCGCTGATGAGCCAATCCCTTAGCCACTGACCCACCTTGCGCACACACCTGATATCTGAAAAACACCCTGGAGGTGCTGCTCCTGGTGAGCCAGTTTCTAAGCTGACTGACCTACTGCTTACATGAACTGAGAATCAACCCAGTGAGCCCACTGCCAGCAAAGCTGCTTCTTCACCACTGAAAACTCCCACAGCCTAGGCCACTTAGACACTTGCTGACTAGCTAATGTGGATTACAGCAGAGAAAATTGCATGGAGACTACTCTATTGTGTTCACCCAGAACTCAAATTGATGCACCCCACCCAGCTGACACCCTAGGACCCATCTACCGGAATAAGTCTTTTGCTATGAAAGCTACTCCATAAAATTGGAAGAGTAAACTATTCTACTAAATGCATGGATATCAATGTAGGGACAAAAGAAACACAAAAAAGCATGGAAACATGA